CTCCCTCTCTCTCCCTCTGTGTGTGTGTGTGTGTGTGTGTGTGTGTGTGTGTGTGGTGCCTGGGTGTGTGTGTATGTATGTCTGGTACCTGTAATGACTAGAAGAGGGTGTTGGAGCTCCTGGAACTGAAAAAAAAGCAAGTGTTCTTTTCAGCCATCTTCCCAGCCAAACAGTGTCTCTTTGAAAACTTCCCGGTGCGTACAGTACATTTGGTGCAGCAGTACCACGTCTAGGAATTTACCCAACCAGTATATTCGCTGATTTCGCCAAAATACATTGTTCTGTGTAGAGTGGTTTGTGGTAACCAAAATCTAGAAGTAAGCCAAGTATCTACCCGCAAGGCACTGGCTGAATGGGGCTCATCTATATGATGGAATTCTAAGTCTCATATTAATTATGTGACTCTGACCATAAAAGATGGTGACAGAGAAAACAAGTCAGGGGTTCAGTGGGGAGCAGCACCGAGGGAAAGGTTGCGTCAGAACTTGGGCTCTGGGTCCTTTGGATCTTTGTTTTGTTTTGGTTTGGTTTGGTTTGGTTTGGTTTTCAAGACAGGATCTCTCTTTATATCCCTGGCTGTCCTGGAACTCATTCTATAGACCAGGCTGGCCTCGAACTCAGATCCCCTGCTTCTGCCTCCTGAGTGCTGGGATTAAAGCCCGGCTCCTTTGGCCCTCTTGTACCCCAGGCATAAAGTAGAGCTCATTTCTAACTGAGCATACATTTTTTTCTTTGAGCGTATTAAAAGTAATTAGTCACTTAGAAGTGATAATAAAATACATAAATATGGGCTAAGGATTCCTGTCTGCTATGCGAAATGCTCAATTTTAGAAAGGTTTTGAGCACCAGTGTGAAGTTCAAAATCTTGAATTTGGGAGGATTTCAGATCAGGGGTTTTTAACCAGCAAAGTCCAGACTGCAAACACTGTAAAATCTGAAACACTGATTTCGTCAGGTACTCTGAAATTGTATGTGTACATACACAACAGTAGACATTGCCCTTCCGTGAAGAGATTCTTTATTCTGTTCTATTTTGTAATTATCTCAAGATCCAAGAACTTCAGGAAAAAGAGCTTCAGCTTCTTAAAGAGGAAGAAGATGTCAGTAAAGTTTATAAAGAAATGAAGGCAATTGAGCAGTTGAAAAATCAGTTTGAGGCTCAGAATTCGTATGTGCAAAGTGTGGGTGAAAATAACTTGGACTTGATTAAGAAAATTCACAAAAACCTTGAAGCAATAAGAATTATAGCCAAGGAAAACAGTGAGCTAACCAGGATAACAGAGTCTCTCAAGGTGGAAAGAGAACAATCCCAAGACACCATAAGTCACATGCTAATGAGCGTGAGTTCAGAACCCTCGGCCGCCCAGTAGCTCTAAAACTGAAGCGTTAGGGGTGGTTACAGTGTGTGGTATCTGGATTTGCCTGCTGTGGGTTTGGGGTTTTTCCTCTTCCTCCTAATTTTTTTTATACTTATGTAGATACTAAACTGTGGTGGGAAACGTATAATAATTATAACACAAAAAGGAAACATTAAAGCCACAATGCTTTTCAGAAAATTAAATTCTTCATCTTTAAGAAAAGATTTGTTAGATATACTATTATCCTTCTAAATTTCTGAAACAACACAAAAAGAAACTAGCATTATTTTAAGTGGAAAAATATTTCAGAGACTACATTTACAAAAGATTAAATGCCTCCATTTCCTATACTAATAGACTTCTAGAAATAAATGGGTTTTCATGACTGAAGTTAGAAGGAAAAAATGTAGAGATTAAAAGGGAGTTTTCTTGACTTTATTTCAGAATAATCTTTAAAAGTTTAATTCATTCCTCTAGAAAGTAGCAGAAAGTCTGTAACTTCATTTTCATGTTCGAAAGGTAAAATAGAAAGCCTAATGTGCAGTTTTATCATAAACACTAAACACTTGTGAGTCCAGTACATGTAGGGCCTGTCTAAATTGACAGACATAATTTGTTTGACATATCTGTATCTAGCAGATAGTCTCCTAGGTGTCACAGTGGCCAAGTTAAACTAATGTCTCAGTTTAAGGAGGGAGGGTATGTCTGTTCTGGGCTTTTTAATCGGACGAAGAAAGAATATGAACAAAATGTAGACTTTCCTCCCCAAGGTGGAAGAATATACAAAGCTTGGGTTTTCTGGTGTATTTAGTTGGTGACAGTAATTCTAATGCAGACATTGAGAGGTTACAAACTAGAAATCTAAGGCCTGATGAGGAGCAAATCCTTTTCTAGATATCATGTACTTCTCGTGTATTCCTTCAGTGAGTTGAAGTCATTCACCATGTAGCTTGGCAGTAATTATTACTTCCTCTTTTTGCCTATTTTAATACTGTTTTTATATTACAATGAAATATTTAATTCTGTTATTGAAACATGATGTAAGATGTAAGCATGTATAATTAGACATGTGATGTGCATGTGGTTATTGCTGTGTATTTCTTTGTACCAGGACCATCAGAACCATGCAAAGAGGTTACTAGATGATGGAGAACAACACAGTATAGAACACCTTCGTGAAAAGTGCCTCAGGATAAAAGTAAGAGCCCTATAGGAGCTGCGTGGCATTGTAGCTACTGTTCCAAAGGCATCCTGTCATGCCTAAGAGGATTAAAGGAAACTGGATAGTGGGTAGATGATAGCAAATGTTTTCGTAAGCAGTATGGTCTAGTACAGTTATGCATGCATATACATGTACACGTATATGTACAGATGACACAGTGCAAGTTTGTGATTTGTTTTTTAAGGCCTGTGTGGGAAAGTAATCCTGAGCAAATCTCTAAAAGCAGTAAAGGGCTCGATTTACTCTGGGGGAAGAATGTGGTAGATAGGGGAACTGTGGTACAAAGCTGATGGAGAAGGCTTTGTGTTCAAGGAGTTTCCGGAGAGAAAGCTAGTGAAAAGTAAGGCAAGTCGAGCTCATGGAGGAGTGGGCTGGAGTGGGCTGTGAGGCCACAAAAGGACTTGGGGTTTGCTCTGAGTCGGAGCAGCTGGAGAGTTGTACAGTGTGAGAGACACAACATGACCTACATTTGAAAAGGAAAGATGTGAATGCTGAAAGTTGAGTATAAGCAGAGAGCCTTTCTTTTTGTTTTTGTTTTCTCAACACAAGGTTTCTCTGTGTAGCTAAGGCTGTCCTTGAACTCACTCTGTAGACCAGGCTAGCCTCAAACTCACAGATCCACCTGCCTCTGCCTCCTAGTGCTGGGATTAAAGGCAAGAGCCACTGGCCAGTGAGAGAGCCCTTTTGAAAGATGAATTTTAATCATGTAAACAGATAACGGAGAGGTAGAAGTCCAGACAGTATTAGCAGATCACAGAAATGTGTGGAGTGACTAGAGCAAGATGGGGAGGGGAAGTTGAGTCATGGTCATTGATTTATCCACAGACTCTTACTGCTTTTATAAGCATACGCCAGCTCTCAGTCTGGTGTATGGTGCACACTAAATTTATTCAAAAGACCAAAAGAAAAGTTGGTTTTCATATTTTCCTCTGGTTAGTTTTCACAACATTAAACATTGCTTCTATAATCTAAAAATTACTAATTATATCTTCTAAGCACAAAGGTCTTAATTTCTTTTTTTCCAAGAGAAGGTATTACAGTGTTCTAGTATTCATTAGAATGAATTCTAATGTCCTTTAGGAGCTCCTGAAAAAGTACTCAGAAATGGGTAATGATTATGAGTGCTTGAATCAGTTCTCTCTTGACTTCGAGAAGGAAATTAAAACCCAAAAAGAGCTGGCAATGACTGTAAAAGCCAAGCTCTCACTTCCATACTCAGAAACCAAAGAGATTAAAAAGCTGCTTGCTGAGCACCAGAGATGTTCCATGGAATTCAACAGAATCCTGAAGAAACTTAAGGTACCAACTTTTTTTGTATTGGCCTTATACTGATGTAATTATAATTTCAATTGTATATTTCAATGTATTTAAGTCCTTTGGGAGTTACCATATATACTGTCTATATAATATGTATATACAAATTAATATGCATCTGAAGATCGGATTCATTCAACAAAACTTGAGCTCTGCCTGTATGCCTAGACACCATGTGAGGGTACTCAGAGTCCACATGAGTCACATCCCAAAGATCTCATAATCAGGTGAGGCAGGCTTGTGACCGGTTATAGAGGTACTGACAGGTTTGTTATGTGACAGATTTTCCCTCACCCCAGACAGGGAATCCATAACAGACCAAAATACCAATTACACCAAAGTCCAATTCAACTTAGTAAACCAATGAATTAATTGGGGTTACAGTTTAGGAGGATGACTGGGACATCTGCGCTGGCCGCAAGCCCACCCCAGCGGGTGATCACTCAGCAAAGCTGCACCCTGGGCCTCCTGCTCAACATGGAGGCGGCTCAGTCAGCTGAGCCCCCTCAGCGACTTGCTGGCCAGAGTCTCCTCCTCCAGCAGTCACTTCCTGCTGTTAGAACCCTGAGGAAGCGCCTTCGCAATCGTGAGGTTTTCCAGGAGATAGAGGGTTTCTTCAGTTGATAATCCTCTCATAGATTGTGGCAGTCGGATACCCGAAATTTATGCGGTTGGGGAACATTGTAGCATTAAAATTATCATTACCTTAAAGCCAAACATCTAAAGATGCTTGATAAAGAAATCTTGAAGCATGTGACATTTGGGGGTTGTTAGTCAGACAAGATTGTTAGAAGAATATTTCAAAAATCCAATATGGGGCTGGAGAGATGGCTCAGCAGTTAAGAGCATTTACTGTTTGTACACAGAACCCAAATTCAGCTCTTAACACCCAGGTCAAAGCAGCTCACACCACCTGAAATTCTGGCTCCAGGGGTTCTGAAGGTCTCTTCTAGGCTCCATGGACATCTAAACTCATGTGCATGTACCCACATGTATACATGTAATACTATATAAAATGAAATATGTTTTTTAATCTCAAATGTCTGACAGTAGGAGATTGACAGAACAAAAAATTATTATAAGAAGGCTGGAGAGATGTCTCAGTGAGTGGCAAGACCCCTGGCTGCTCTCCCAGAGAACTCAGAGTTGACTCTCAGCACCACACTGTGACTCACAGCCATCTGGAGCTCAAGTGCTAGGGGATCCATGGACATCAAACACACATGTTTAGTCACACACATAAAAATAGGAAAAAGAGAGCTTATAGAAAGTGCCATGTGACATTTTAAAACACTCCATATGAGACGTCCCATAGGAAGTCAGACATAGAAGCAGCAATCTGGAAGGGTTTCTGTCCCAAGGGGCTGAGAAGCGAAAGTTGGGGATAAAGAGTAGCTGCTTCCTTCTTCATCTCTGTCATAGTGTAACTAATAAACGGGAGACCTCACCATCTCAGACGTTGTCCCCTAAATACAGTGTCTCGTTTGTCAATTTACCTCCTTCAGTACGTGTTGACCTACATTACTCGGCTGAAGGAAGAACAGCATGAGGTCATCAGTAATGTCGAAATGGCTGTCATCCAGGAGGTGGAAAAGCAGAATAAACTTCAGATTAAAATGCGGAGCTTTCAACAGGCTTATGATATTCCATCCAAAGACTTAGAGAACCTCAGACTGAGCCAGGATATGGACCGCCATATTGGGGTATACTTTTTTAATGCCTTTAATGTGATTTTAAGCCTTTTGTAAATAGATACCTTTGTATGCATTTGAAATTACTAGGAACTCCCAGAATGATAGCTGACCCAAGGACTGTTTAGATGTTGCCAGGCCTACGTAGACAGGAAGTATATTTAACATCAAGTGAGAATTCAGAGAATTGTAGGTTTCCCAGGGCCTTCCTGCACCAGTGACTGGAAGTCAGAATTCTTTCCTGTATCAACTCTGCAAGGACTTTATTGCTCTCCCAACAATGTAAAGCTGGCTGCAGTTCCCAACACACATGTGAGGCCTGCCGTGTGCATAGAAAAAGAGCCACCAGAACCTATAGGTAGACTACCTCTGTCGTGTAGAATGTATTACCAGCATTCTCTTATGCACGTAATTGGAATAGTTTTAAATTAGAATCCATTTACTCTAGTATCCTAATAAGTAGAGTACGGTGGGTATTTTTCCCGTTATGATATTTTTATAGTTTATATGTTATTTGGGTGAAATCTTTCCTAATGTTCATATAGTTCGATACCTATTTTTCACACAGGAGATTCTCAAAGATTTTTCAGAAAATGACTTCCCCACCATAAAAACGGAATTCCAACAAGTACTAAGTAATAGCAAAGAAATGACTCAGTTTTTAGAAAAGTGGCTGAATACTCCTTTTGATGCAGAGAAACTTAAAAGTGGCATTCAAAAAGAAAACAACAGCATCTGCCAAGTGAATAACCTCTATAACAGCAAAGTAATTGTGAGTGTGATTGTTCGTCATCCGGGCTCTTTCATGCTTCTTTTATTTTTCTACTCATTCCTAAAAGGGTTAGACTGGCTAATATTTATACATAGGGGCTCTCTATGAAAGTTTTGATTATATAAAAATTGCGTCTTGTTGTCTTATGTTTCTTCAAGGTAATTAAACCAGTTTGTACTTGGGAAGGTAGCGGGCTGTTTGCATGTGATACTGAGTTCCCACTTGGGAGATTTTGCCTCTCCTCACTGTTCTCTTCCCATGCTCCTCTCAGTGCTTGTGAGGAGTGAGCCTTTGCCCCAGTGGCCTCAGGGAAACTGAGATGTAAGTCTGCTAGGGCTGTGGGCGGCCGCTGAGGTAAAGCCACAAGCGATCCCGGCTGGCTGCATCAGGGGGACTCTGTGTACATTCACCTCAGTAGCTTCTTCACCGTCTGCACATGCTTTAATCTGAACTGTAGGTTCCAATTGTTGTTTTGCTTATGGCATGTATGTCAGTATTTTTTTTTTAGTTAAGCTTATGGAAAAATTAACCCATCAGTACAGAGAACTCTCATCCCTACAGATAATCAATCTCTCCTATTACCAAGATCCTGTACCGAAATAACACATCTGACCCAGTCATGAATTCTAAGCTCACACCTGGTGTTGAACATCCTGTTGGCTTCTTAATGTATTGTGACATATTCCCATCATCCCAGCATCAGCCAGCCTCTGATGTCAAAGAGAATAGTGACTTTTGACTGTTATTGTCTACACAGGAATATAAGATTTATAGATTAATTAGCAAAAATCAGTAAATTGGGGCAGGAGAGATGGCTCAGCCAGTCAGAGCACTAGCTAGTCTTCCAGGTGACCTGGGTTCAATTCCTAGCACCCACATGGTGGCTGGCTCACAGCTGTTTGTAACTCCAGTTCCAGGGGATCTGGTGGCCTCTTCTGGTCTCCATAGGCTCCAGACTCAGACATGGTACACAGGCAGACATACAGGCCAAACACCCAAACACATAACAAAGGGGTTTTAAATCAGTAAAGTGGGCTGAGGTCTGGAAGGAAGTGGAGAGAATAGATAATTGTTAGGTTTACTTTGTGAGCTCTGCTATTGCTGACTTTAACCCGCAGTTCTTCAGTTTTTCCTCCTGAGGTACTGTAAATTAATGAAATGATCTTGCAGATCAGCAGGATCTTCTCAAGCCCTTCTTATTCACACCGTTATTAACATCCAACATGTTGAAAGAGAAATGTGCATTCATTGTCTTGAGCACTGCCCTAAGACATTCTAAATAATGAATCTCAGCATGTCTACTGTCCTAGAATTCTACTGTTTTTTAATGTAATTTTAATGCATCAATTATCTTAAAGCTATAGTGTCTCTTATTGTTCATAGGCCATGATAAATGAGTCAACAGAGTTTGAGGAAGGAAGTGCTGCCAGATCCAAAGAATTGGAACATTACCTGAAATCACTGAAAGAAAAGACTGAACAGCTATCTAAAGACTACCATGCTGTGACCGTCTCCCAGTCCGCTGCCCAGGTTTATCCTACTGCACATTCTTCTACACAGTATGGTAAAAATCCTCATGTCACATCAGTAGGTGAACAACTAACATCAGAGGTATGAAACTTCCTGGAGTTTAGAGCAAATATATAGCACCAATATATTCACTAAATATGAATACACTATTGTAAATATGTGTGATGAGTTGAATTTTTACATGTGGTTGTACTGTAGTTACCATTCAACTAATTATGAAACTTGATATCACGTAAGATCTTTCCTATGAGTTAAAGAAACAAGTCATAGTTTCAAGACTATATATAGAGTAGTTTATTTTCTAAGTAAAAGGACTTGTATTTGGATAAATTAAACAATATTTAACCTCATTGCTTGTTGATTGAGTCTGTGAAAACTCAATAACTAGCTACAGATGATCATTTTTGTCTTATTTAACATACTATGGATTTGCCCTATGGATCTGTGCTTTCTCTAACAGAAAATTCGGGAGCTGGAAGCCTCTTTACGAGAAGCTAGAGAGAATGCCATCCATAAGGAAGGCCAGATGGCAACAGTGAAGAAGGAACTGGCAGCGACCAAGGACTTAGTAGCAGAACTCCAGAGCCAAGTTCATGAATCCAAAAAGTGCCTTGAAAACACACAGGCAACAATACAAACACTTCAGGTAAGGCAGACCAGTCTCATAAATAAAAACGTGTTGTAGCCTGTGGGATTGAGCAAATAATTGGATGCTCTGTTCCCCCCGCTTACTACAACCTTACCACGACGCCTGTGTAAGGGCTCGAGTTCATTTCTCAGACTTCAAAAGGAAGTGACTGGAGGAAATGGAGTATGTTTGCATGTAAAATACTGATGATTTTTAGTATAGTGGAAAAAGGAATTTCAAAATGGAATAAGCAACACATTTTGTCAAAGTCGGTTTAGACTGCCTCAGGCATCAGGGTTCTACAGGCCAGCAGAATGATGTACCAGGATATGGCTTTGTTCTGTCCTGAAGAGAGATCCATAAATTCTTTTCATAGTTTGACTTTTTAAGATTGTTTCTATTGCTGGGCGGTAGTGGTACACGCCTTTAATCCCAGCACAGGTGGATCTCTGTGAGTTTGAGGCCAGCCTGGGCTGCAGAGTGAGATCCAGGACAGGCTCCAAAGCTACAGAGAAACCCTGTCTCGGAAAAAAAAAAAAAAAAAAAAAAGATTGTTTCTGTCAATCATATTTTTAAATCTGTAGTATCCAAAATACTTACTTCAAAATTTACTCCCAAGGATATTAATTTTATCCTCTGCATACAGCCATGTAATATAATAGAGCATTTATTGATTGAAAAAGAACGTAATTTGAATAAAATCTTGGTAAATTTCTTCTTGTAACATTACAAATTGCTCAAATCAGATAGCAATGGATTTGTTTAAAATCTGACCTATAATAGACCTTTATAACCATCCTGTACAATTGCTTTTTCAGAGATTATAATGACCACAAAAACTAAAGTAAAATGCTTGAATCGTAAAAAAATAAGAACATGTAAAAAGAATGAGTTATAAGCCGGGTGGTGGTGGAAGCAGAGACAGACAGATCTCTGAGTTCGAGGTCACCCTGGTCTCCAGAGTGAGTTCCAGGACAGCCAGGGCTACACAGAGAAAAATGCTATCTTGAAAAACAAAAACAAAAAAAAGAATTATATTTGAAAATGGGATGTAAAATAAGAAATTCACCATGTCCCAAATCAGAACTGAAATGAACCTGTAGGGATTTTCCCATATTCTTTTATTTATTTTTCTTTTTTAGATGTTTAGTATTTTTAACTGGGGGGGGGGGAGATTAATGCAGGTGCCTGAGATGGTCAGAGGCATTGATCACCTGGAGCAGGAGTTACAGGAGCCTGTGACCTGCCTAAAGTGAATGCTGGGAAGAAACATGGGTTTTCTGGAAAAGCAGATGTGCCCTTAACTGCTGAGCCATCTCCCAGCCCCTCCATTATAAATTTCTAAATCTAGGAGGGCTCAGATCAGAATCACAGAGGACTATGTTTCTAGTGGAAGAATAGTTAGCAGAAAAAAAGAGTTAACAGAATCCACCTAATCTTAAAGAGCTAAACTTAGTAGCTAGGAATTCCTATCTCAGTCTTTTTAACTAATAACGCTTGAAGGCCAGCAGGTTTTTTGTGAATATCACTCTAACCACAGGTGATACATTTGCCACACGGAGTTCTTACCGTCATCATTTCTAAATCAGCTTTTCCAGTTTTGATTTCCCTGAGGCAAGAATTGTTTAGACAGTATTTTATGTGATAATGTCTTTGTATCATAGCCAAAGAATGTCTGCAATTTCTACACTTTCAGCATATACTGAAATTTTCTTGTCGGTGTGTTTGAACTTTTAAAACAGTATCTAGTCAAACAGATCAGTGGGACACAACAGAGAACCTAAAGACAGACACACTCAAAGGCAGCCCTGGGATCTTTTTAAAAAGGACAAAGGTACCTCAGTGGAGAGAGGTGACCCATCAGCTATTGATGCTGGACACCTGGACACGCATGAGCATTTCATAAGCCAGGAATGACAGCGCACAGCTCAGGAGGCTGAGGTGGGAGGATGGCATGCTCTCACTGGCCCAGGACCTGCCAGGCCCACATAGCAGGAGCCCTTCTTAAAAGACAAAAGAAGTCATGGACAGAAATGTAAATAATGAAGATAACACAGGAGAAAATATACCAGAAAGGAAATCAAACAACCTGATATGAAATGGACAAAAATTAGAATGAACTCCGCACTGTCCACAGAAGCCCCTGGGCGCCTTCTGGTGTGTCTGCACAGTGTTGCTGCACTCCTGAGGTAGTGAGAGGACTAAGGGAGAAGCACCGCCGGGGGTGTGCTTTCCGGGCCTGCCGGAAGCCCTGGGCTCCATCCTAGTGCTTCGTGAAGAAGGCTTGGTGACACAAACTCTAATCCCAGCCCATAGGAAATGAGATGGGGATCAGGAGTTCAAAGTCATCTGGAGCTACATAGCAAGTCCTAGATCAGCCTGGGACAGGAGAACATGCCATGATTCCTAAAAGACCAGATGTGGTAAACCTACAGCCACCACCATACCAAAAGGAGAAAAGCTCCCATGGTTCCCACTAAGATCAGAAACAAGTGTCTTCTCTCCACTCCTGTTCATTACAGTGCTTGAAATATGAGCTAAAGTAATAAGACAGTAGCTCATGAGATGGAAATAAAGGGGTAAATATAGGAAAAGAAGTCATAAAGTATCCCTCTTTGCTGATGATGTGGCTCTATACACAAAAGACCCCAAGGACCCCACAGAAAATCTCAAAACTGATAGACAGACACCTTCAATAAAGTGGTGGAATACAAAATTAACGCGGATCATTTGCCTTCCTGTATAACCCCCTTCACAGTAGCCACCCATAAATAAACCTGGGAATAAAGCTCACCAAGAATATGAAAGATCCTGTCTGTAAAAACTGGGGATGTGGAGAGAGATGTAGCAAGTCATGAAAAGACACAGGCCCCTTAAAAGCATAGTTCTAAGTAAAAGCCACCTGAAAAGGCTCCCTATCTTTTAGAAAAACTTCAGACAAAACTAGGAAGACTGTAAAATGATTAGCATTTGCCAGGAGCGGGGAGAGAGAGAAAGATGAGTCAGTACAATGTGGGGAATCTAGATCCCTCCTGTAAAAGTATTAGTCCTAGGCAGGTGTGGTGCTGCTCACTTTAAAGCCGGTTCTCAAAGTCAAGCAGATCTGCAGTGAAGCCATACTTGTCTAAATAGTAAGTTCCGGGACAGCCAGGGCTACACAGCGGGACCCTAAACAAGATGCTAATGTTAGTTCACTTGTAGAAAATGCACTGAACTAATGCATAATTTTAGTAGAAAGTAAAAAGAAAAGGGACAAGGCATGTGTGAGAGTTTTCCACACTCTGTTTTTCTGTGATCCTAAATAAAACTCTACAAATCGTCAAGAGCCTGTGAGATGGCTCGGTGGGTAAGGATGCTTGCCACCAAGCCTGAGTCTGTGCCCCAGAACCCACACAGTGGAGGGGGAGAGCTAACTTTGCAAGTTGCCCCAGTCCTGCACAAAAAAGTAAAGGTAGAAAGCATTCAAGTATCGTCATGATTCTTTTAAGATACACAGCTTTGCAGACATGTAAGGTTATATGGACTCCCTGAGTCAAAATAGCTGTCTTTGTTTCACTGAGCTGTCCTGCCACAGAACACCCGGGAGGTTCTGTGGCCCGAGCGCCATCTGCTCTGTGCCCACACTGCCGCGCTCCTTTCCCTTGCTCACGCGTTTCATTTTTTCTCTCATTTGTATGACTTTTTCCTGCATGGGTGTCTCTGCACCACGTGCTTGTCTGGTGCTGGAGCTAGAGTTGTGAGCTGTCCGAGGTTGTCGGCAGGAGCAGCCAGTTGCTCTTAACCACTGAGCCATGGCGCCAACCCACATTTCATCATTTCCACTTTTCTGTTCATCTGGTAAATTATATCACATTTTCCATTGGGAAAGAGTATTTTCTTAAAGAAGCAGTATTTGTTTGCATATAGTTTCAGATATACTTCATATCAAATATTGGGATGTGCCTTTACTACCTTCTTGTGTTAGAAGTTGTAGGCAGTTTTCAGACATTTCTGCTACATCAAAGGCAACCACTTCACAGCTAGCAAAACCAAAACTAATGATTGTTTTTCTTTACTTTTTCTTCTATGACAGGACAAAGTTGCCTTAGGAGCTCTGCCCTATAAAGAAGAAATTGAGGATCTCAAAATGCAGCTGGTGAAGACTGACCTGGAAAAGAAGGAAAAGGCCAAGGAATTTGAAGTAGAGTAAGTCTGTCTTTGGCTTTGTTGAACATGGCTTTAGTCACATAGCATTGCTTTATAAACTTCACAAAAATCTTTGTATTTGTTTACTTTTTAGAAAGTAATTTGTGCCGGGTGTTGGTGGCGCACGCCTTTAATCCTAGCACTCAGGAGGCAGAGCCAGGAGGATCTCTGTGAGTTCGAGGCCAGCCTGGGCTACCAAGTGAGCTCCAGGAAAGGTGCAAAGCTACACAGAGAAACCCTGTCTCGAAAAACAAAAAAAAAAAAAGAAAGAAAGAAAGAAAGTAATTTGTAAAAATGTTTCTTTACGTTTAAAAAATATGTAAGCACCCATAAGTTTCAAGTTCATTAAAGTGTGGTTACATGTAGAAATGATTAAAAAATTGAGCACAGTCTGGCTGCAGTATAGCTAATAGTAAGGTGCTTGCCTGACATGTCCCAAGCCCTGCTTTCAATCCCCAGGGCTGAGAAAATAAGCTTGATTCTCATCGGTTAGCAAGGTGTCTTTGAATGGTTCTGCCTCAGTGATATCTGAATCAAAACTTAAAGGTGACTTGTCATATTGTGGATATTGAGAGCCTTTACTTTTTGTGTGTGCACGGGTGTTTGATTGACTGAGGTTTCAGCTTGGTTCTCCTTTTTTCTCCTAATGCGTTTTTGTGTAAAGATTGTTTTCTTCTGGTACTTGGGACCCCGCAGCATATCCTCTTTTTACCATATAGCATACCTATAAAATACAGTCAGCATGTATTGTCATAGTTTTTGGTGTTTTGAGACAGGGTTTCTCTGTATCCCTGGCTGTCCCTAGAACTTACTTTGTAGACCAGGCTGGCCTCAAACTTAGAGACCACCTGTTTAGTGGGACTGAAGGCCTATGCCACAACAGCCAGCACTATTTTCATTGTTTTTAAGAACAGCATAAGCTTTTTATAAAGATTTATTTATTATGTATACAGTGTTCTGCCTGCACGTATCCCTGCAGGCCAGAAAAGGGCACCAGATCTCATTACAGATGGTTGTGAGCCACCATGTGGGTGCTGGGAATTGAACTCTCAAAGAGCAGCCAGTGCTCTTAACTGCTGAACCATCTTTCCAGCCCAAGAACAGTATAATTTTTAATATAGGATTATAATTTATCATTTCTGATTAATTCTTGAATTGCTGACTGAATTCATAAAGTATCCCTTTCTCCTGGGGAGCAGTACAGAATTTGGCTTTTGACTCCTTTGCCCCAAGTCAGAGCTGCAGTGAGGATTTGCTTTCCTGATAGTATGGAAATTAGTGGTTTGGTTTGGTTTGCTTTGGTTTGGTTTTCCTGTTCCTTTTCATTCTCTGGTGATTTTCTGTTTATATCACTCATGGTAATAGTTCATAGTGTCTCCAAAAATAATTTTGTTCAGTAGATAACTAATGCCTGTTACATTTACTAGAAGTTTTAAATGACTTGGTTTCTCAATAATTAAGCTGGACTGTTTGGACGGCTAAACAGAATGGTTGCATTTGGGTATAGCCTTCAGACCTGAGCTGTAGTCCAGGGACTGGTGTGCTACAGCATAAGGTATCATGTCAGTGTGGCGCATCAACTTAGAAACCCCTCGGCAACAGTTCTGTTTACCTTCCACTTCAGATCGCCTGGACATTTACATATTTTCATTATCTTACTCCTGTTAGAGTTCGTTCTATAAAAGCCACTATTGAACATCAAAAAGAAGTGATAAGGCAGCTGAGAGAAAATCTTAGAAGAAATCAACAAGCCCAGGATACCTCAAGTAAGTTGAAGAAGACAGATTTTTTTTCTCTCCTACAATACATCCCAACTGCAGTTTCCCCTCCCTCCACTTCTCCGAGTTTCCCACCACCCCTCTCCCCCAGATCCACTCCTCCTCCGTTTCCCTTCAGAAATGAGCAGGCCTCCTAACAGCTTCACACATCACTCAAGTATTGACTTCTGTAAGAATGGCTCAACTATCCAGGGAAAACTTACTTCCCAATACAAACCAAACACATCCAAGGAGGTTTTAGCTATATGCATACAACTAAGACATTCCAGTGGCTACATAATAACAGTGAATAAGTATTAGCTGATCTGCTCATAAATTGATACTACGTTGATAATTACATGAAAACTGAAATTTGCCACAGACATAGTTTGGGGATTGAAGGGTCCAATTTCTTTCTGTATACTCCTTGCAGCAGCTTTTTTCTTTTCTTTCTTTTTTCTGTCATGTGCTTTGTTAGAGGAAGAATGCTGACTGGGTATTGGAGCACCTTTATATACTAGAATGAGCATTAGCTAAAAATTGGGGTAAAGTCTTTGGACTGAGTGCCCTCGGCGACCAAGTGAACTAACCTGACCTTCATACACACGAGCATCAAACCAGCAGGTGTAGAAAAGCACTTTGAGAAATCTAAATGCCCAACAAAATATAGCATATCTGTGTTATGCTTATTCTCAAAAGAAAATGGAAAGGAGAGAATTAACCTCTCTGAGGAATGATAATTTGTCACTAAATACAGAGTAGTCAGCCCTGGAATTGTGTATGCAAGCCACACAAAAAGACTCAGTAGTTTGAATGTTTATGTTTATATGTGTAACAGTATCAAAGAGAGAAACAAACCATCGATTTGAGACGGAATAGTAGGGGTGTGGCAGGGGTGGGAGGGAAAAAGGCAAGAAGTGAAGTGATGTAATTAGTTTTTAAATGTAATAGAAAATGAAAATAATATGTTAAATATGTTGTCTGGTATCTAATGTGGCCTGAACTTCCTAAGTGTCTATTGCAGTGATCTTGGTTCCTGACTGGAAAGCTTCAAAGGATAAAATAGAAGTGACTGGTATAAGATCGAATCTCAAAGTAGTTTTAATTTGTATTTCCCTGATAGCTAAGAATTTGAATATTTCTTTAAGTCAGTGGTTTTTCCACCTGTGGGTCCTGACCCCCAGAGGGGTCACATTTTAGATATCTTGCATATCAAATACTTAAATTGCAATTCATTAACAGTAGCACAATTACAGTTGTGAAGTGGCAATGAAATAATTTTGTGGTTGGTATCATCACAACATGAGGAACTGGATTAAAGGGTCACAGTGTTAGGAAGGCTGAGAGCCACTGCTCTGTTTCTTGGTCTTTTGTGTTTCATCTTTGATAACTGTTTAGTTCTATACCCCATTTTTAAATTGGGTTATTTGTTTTCTTGATGTTCAGGGTTTTTTTTTAGTTCTTTTTATATTCTAGGTACTAACTTTCTGTCAGATGGACAATTGGTAAAGTTTTTTTTCAAGTTGCAAGCTGCCATTCTACTAGTATGATGCTATACACAAGAGTTTTTAGTTTCATAAGGTCTCATTTATTAATTGCTGGTCTTAATGCTCTGCTATCAGGGTCCTGTTCAGAAAGTCTTTTCCAGTGCAGGCCTAGTCCCTGCTTTCTCTCCTGTCACGTTCAGGGTACCTGGCCTTGTGTTGAGGGTCTCAATCCATTTGAGTTGAGTACTGTGCAAGGTGACAGATAGGGAACTAGTTCCCCTCTCCCTGCAGCCCTCCAGTTTGACCAGCAACATTTGTTAAAGACACTGTCTTATCCAGTGTGTAGTTTTGGCTTTGTCAAAACCCAGGTGTCCATAGGCTTGTGGACTTATATTTGGGTCTTCAGTTCTATTCCTTTGATCATCATGTCTGATTTTATACCAATACCATGCTGTTTTTATTACTATATAGATAGCTCTGTGTTATCATTTGAAATCTGGGATGGTGATAACTCTAGCCAGTTCCTTCATTATTCAGGATTGTTTAGCTATCTCAGGTTTTTTATGTTTCCATATGACATTTAAATGTTTTTTCCATTTCTATGAAGAATTGTGTTGGAATTTTCATGGAGATTGCACTGATCTATAGATCACTCTTGGTAGCACAGCCTTTTTTCACAATATTAATCTTACTGATCCATGAGCATGAAAGATGTTTCCATTTTCTGATGTCATCTTCGATTTCTTTCTTTAATGTCTTAAAGTTTTTATTGTACAAGTCTTTTCTTGTTTGATTAGAGTTATTCCAGGATTTTTTTTTTAGGAAGTTTACTGATTTTTGTATGTTGATTTTTGTATCCTGCTACTTTGCTGAGAGTATTTGTTATCTGTAAAAGTTTCCTAGTGGAATCTTTAGAGTCTCTTATATATAAAATCGTATCTGCAAATAAAGGATGCTTGGACTTTTCCCTTTCCTATTTATATCCCCTTAATCTCCTTCAGTTGTCTATTCCTCTCAAAAAGACCTGGAACACTATATTGAACAGGAGGGGAGAGACTGGGCATTCTTGTCTTGTACTGTTTCAGTAACAGTCAAGACTATGACTGTGGGGATGCTGTAGACACTCTTTATTATTTTGAGGTATGTCCCTCCTATCCTAGTCTCTCAGAACTTTTATCATGAAGGAAGGTTGGATTTTGCCAAGGGCCTTTTCTGCAGCTAATGAGTTGCTCATCTCTAATCCACTGGGACACTGGAGCAGTTCTGATTTTCAGAGATGTCTGCCTGTATTGTACCTGAATGATAAAAATGTCCCTCACTAATCTCCTCACATATCCTCTCTGTCTCCTTAACTAACTGCTGATGACCACGTGGGTTGTTAGATAAGTAACACCTCCGTATTTATGCAGTTTTGTCCACAATACTGACAGTTTTACTCTCATCTGGAGGTGTGTGTAGTTGAGTGTGTGCTGAGCACTTGCAATGCACTGAGTGACTTTGGGGCAGTCACTGCACGGCCTGCAGCAAGGTAGCAGGACAAGCCCCACAGGTGATTAGAGCATGGGTCGATCGACTCAGGAGAGCTCTGGTTATAAAAGGCTGCTGCTGCTATAATGGGATGGAAGGTGAGGTAATGTATTGGAGGCAGATTGTAGGGAAATGAAGAATGATGGTCAGTAGACTGAGGAGAAACAGAAAAGCAGACATGACTTCCAGGAAATGGTTTCCATAGTGGCCTGTTGCAGTTTTTAATACTTCTTTTTTTGAGCATTAGAGCTAATTAAGATTATCTGCCTGGCTGGACATGGTGGCACATTGTCTACATATAGTTCAGCACTCAGGAGATTGACGAAGGAAGATCAGTTCCAGTCCAGAGCCAGCCTGGGCAGCACAGAAACAGAAGAGGATCAACCTGTGTGTATGTTTGCCTCTTTCAGTGGTAGCAGAACATGACTCTCAGCCTCTGCGTAAACCCTTAACCTGTGGAGGCGGCAGTGGTATTGTACAAAGCACCAAAGCTCTTATTTTGAAAAGTGAATATATAAGGATGGAAAATGAAATTTCTAAGTTAAAGCAGCAAAATGAACAGCTAATAAAACAAAAGAATCAACTATTAAGGTAAGTTCTATCTAAGCTTGGGTGTGATGGTACATAGCTTTAATCCCAGCGCTCTGGAGTTCAAAGCCAGCCTGGTCTACATAGTAACTTTTTGGTCAGCCAAGGCTACATAATATGGAGAGCTGTCTCAAAAAACACAAAAACAAACAAAAAAGAAGCCAAACAAACAAAAAAGGCAAGTTTTGTTTGCACGGCATATCCTGTTGATGGCTACATGTGTTGGAACTATTTGTATATATTTTCTGAGGTTGTCAACCTTTCACTATTTTGAGGGAAAGTAATTTTTAGAGATTGTGTAATAAATGTTTATTTTAAAAGAAATGGGAATAACCAGGCAGTGATGACCCATGTCTTTAATCCCAGCACTCAGGAGGCAGGGGCAGGCAGGTCTCTGAATCTGAGGTCAGTCTGGTCTGCAGAGCAAGTTCCAAGACAGCCAGGACTACTAAGAGAAACCCTGTCAAGAAAGAAAGAGAATCAAACGGGAATATCCTGGCTCCATTTCACATTTGCTATTCATTAACTGTGCAGACTTGTACATGTGGGGGCCAGAGGTCGGTGTGAGTGTCTTCCTCAGCTGCTTTTCTGGCGTGTTTTGAGACCAGGTCTCTCACTGATTCAGCTATCCTGGCTGACCAGCAAACCCCAGAGGGCTTCCTGCCTCTACCTCCCCAGCACTGGATACAGACATGTATTATGCACCCAGGTTTTCTTTTAACTCGGATTCTAGGAATTCAGCTTAAGTACTTGACCTGCTAAACCATCTTCCCAGCTATTCTGAACTATTGTTAAGTAGGTCAAGAACCAGGAAATGAAGACCATTGAGAAGACAGCTTCCACAGTCAATGAAGCTGTATCCCACAGAGGACTCCGAGTCTATTATTTACAGGCCCTATTTACAGATAAACTTAAAACACTGCAGCTCCTCCTACCATAGAAGAGTAGAACGTTTGTGCAAACACTACTAATGGTACAGTAGAAGAAACTTGCACATTAAGGAAGTAGAAAGGGCTAGTAGTCTAACTCAGTGGCAGAATGCTTGCCTAGCATGCACAAGCCCTAGCTTCCATTCCCCAGCAATGCAGAAATGAGTCACTGAATAAAATATCCCCGGCCAAAGAAGTTAACAACTACATCTTTTACATTGAGTAACATTAAGCAAAAACAAAGGGCCAAACATTGTATGGCTGCAATTCCAGAACTCAGGAGGCAAAGACAGGAAACTCATGAGGTCAAGGCCATTAGAACTTACTGAGACCCTGTCCCAGCAAAAACATAAGCAGGGTATGGTTAACTTAAATTACATTCTGAAGGAAGAATCTGATCATATACAGATAGATTCAGGAAGGTGAAGCAGTTGCGACCAAACAAGTGAAGAGAAATTAGAATAGATGAAAATATACTTGTGTAAAGGTTCAATAAGCATTCTATAAACCTAACTACAGTAGCATATAAACCACTCAATGTTATAGACTCATTCAAAAACCTGAATTAAACTTTGAATTTTTTTTTAAATTTTTTCAGACTCCATTATCAAAATTTACTTTGTGTTGGACATTGGTGGCCTTTAATTCCAGCACTCAGGAGGCAGAGACAGACAGATCTCTGTGAGTTCTA